GAGACCGAACCGAACTAACTAGACCGAACTTTCTCGGTCTTCGTTTTTTGCAAAGACCATAGGTTTCGATGACCGAATCAACTAACCGAACCGATCGGTTGGTCCGACCGTGCCCAAATGAATTATAGTGAGCATCCATACATACGCTGTCAATAATTTTAATGTCCTTTATTATTATTTTTTATAAAAAATAATATAACGTATCCACATATCAAGTTTTCTTAAAAAATGACGTAACCACGTATCCGTATCCGTCCGATACCGATACACGTATCCGTATCCGTATCCGTATCCGTATCCGTGCTGCTAAGGTCGACCCTGCACCACCTGCAGCAGCAATAGGAAAGCTGTGTTTGACAACAGGGGAAGTTAGAGACAGCACGTGCATCCATTGGTTGATGGCCCGGCCTGCCGGCACCAGCATGATTCCCTGATTGCTCTTAATAAAAGAAATAATAATTGAAAACGATATGCCAACTCAACTGACGACGTGGACCTAGCAGATCAAAGGGGTGTTGTTTGGTATATTAACACTTGTTACTACACGTTAACAACTACGTACTATTTACCTGTCTCAAAAAAAAAGATGTACTACATAGTTCTGGGTGTTGAGTTGGCATATCCAAAAATCTCCATTCCAAGGGAGCATGTATGTTTTTTCCCCTAAGATGAACTAGGTGAACTTTGTCCAAAGGTATCTTCGTTTAACTTTGGTTTGGTCAGAATTGATTTTTGGATTTGTTTGGATTCAAACTAAAGTGAGGGGATTTTGATCCTGCTTTTCTGTCCAACAAAACAGAAGGAAATAAGGACTGGAAGAAGGCATCGTGGATTCGGCTGACTGGTCAATCCCAAGCAGCACCACAAAACAGATAAGACGGATAACACACAGCCACGTATAGTATGTAGCCTAGACGGAAACAGAAACAAGCAGCTCTGAAACTGAAGCTCACGGGCATGGCCATCCTGGGCGCCCTCAAGCTCGCCCCGTCTCCACCCGCCCTCGCCGGCGCCGCGCCACCGGAGACGTCTACGCCCGCGCGCTCCTCGGTGCACTTCCACCTCGCCAATGCCGGCGCCGCCGCGCTCGTCGCCGCATCGCTCCTCGTCGCCGACCCCGCCGTGGCTTTCATTGTCCGCCCGCCGTTTACTTACCCTGCCTTGTTTCTGCTGTCCTCCCAAGTTCTTGCGAAATCGGCGTGTTGACGGCGCGCGCGCGGCGTGGCTGCAGGGAGGAGGCCCGTACGGGAAGCAGGTGACGCGGGGGCAGGACCTCACCGGCAAGGACTTCAGCGGCCTGACGCTCGTCAGGCAGGACTTCAAGACGGTATACTGCGATTGCATGCACATCTCACCTTGCCTTGGGCAATTTTCTTACAATTGCTATCCCATGCTTCTCGATGTGAAGAAGCCTAGAAACGCGTCAAATCTTCGAAGTTCTGTGTAAATATGCAGAAAAAAGCATGTCATTTGTCAGGGTTTTGCTTATGCTTGTTGATTCTTGATGTTCTTGATGATGCAGTCTATACTGAGGCAGGCGAACTTCAAAGGCGCGAACCTGCTCGGCGCGAGCTTCTTCGATGCAGACCTCACAAGTACTGAATTGCTTGCTACTCCATCTTCGATGGTTCCAGTTCTTGTTCCTTGTCATTGGAAAGTTTGTGACTTGGTTTTCGCTGTGTGGCTTACTGGATATGTTTGCCGACGGATTCAGGGCTTCAGGCGCTGACCTCTCTGATGCTGATCTTCGAGGCGCCGATTTCTCGCTGGCGAATTTAACAAAGGTAAAATGTTCAGGATCGCACATTACCTTGGTTCAGTTTCATCAGGATTCAATTCAAGCACGCTTGTGCACGCGGCTGTATTCTATTTTGTTCAAAATGCCTGACAAGTATCTCAACCTCATCCAAAACGTTCAGCCATCGTTAAATCAGACGTTTATATTTGGGCCCATTTCGTTCATGCTCCTCTCTTTGTTTATTTTCTATGAAACAAATCCCTTCATGTTTTCCCTGTCTGATTGAACTATCTGTCTATAGATATCAGCATGGTGATTTGTTTTTCAACACGCTCATGATTGGTTTTGCCTCACTTCATTTGCAGACAAACTTATCAAATGCCAACTTGGAAGGGGCACTTGTCACAGGAAACACTTCTTTCAAAGGTGCCAACATAACTGGGGCAGGCAAGTGATTTCTGCATATCACTCTGATAGCCATCTCTTGCTGCAACTCAGCAACTGTACCTTTCTCCACTCAAAAGGTTGTCATCAGTACAGGGGGCACAAACAAATTTCCATTATTCCCCTTTGCAAAATCAAAATGAGCAAAAGTAGGCAAAGCTCAAACTGGATAAATGAGCTTGTTCTTGTCTCTTGAGTCTTGACATGATCACATAAGCAGTAGTGTCACCATGCACCATTTTCTTCAACCTGCAGATTTTACCGATGAATACCTCTGCAAAATTGCTGACGGGTAAGAACACAACGCATTGACATGGACGGATTGATGGCCATTAAGTCTAGTGATTTGTCTGTTGATCTCATCGTTTATCGAACAGAGTGAATTCAACCACTGGGAACCCCACCAAGGAGACTCTGTTCTGCAGCTGATCGATGGAAGACCCCGTGACTTGTGAGACTTGTAACTTATTCAACGCCTTAATAAACCTGTATCTGCAGCTGTAAGGATGCGAGAAATGTAAATTGAGTTATAGAGGAGGATGAGGATGCCCAGAAATAATAAGGGTACTGGTAATTACGTGTAAATCAACGAACAATGTTAGTGCGCGTTGCTCTTTATGTGCAAGTGACTTTTTACTTGGTCATATATATGGATTAACGGAGGACAGGACTCTCAAGTTTCAAACATTGCCACATTGGTACACTGACTCAGCTGTGTTTCTTTTCCTTTCTTTTTTAAGTAAAATATACCACATTGGTGCCTGGTGGTCTGGCCCAGGCGGGTTTCGGCCCAACCCCATCCTGCATTCGTACCCGTCCAGAATGTTGGCTGCTCAACTTCGACTACCTGCTGCTCGCGGGCACACTGTCGCGCTGTCCGTCAATGCACTGCGCTCTCTTGTGTGCAAAAACTAAAAAGAGATGTACGTTTTAAAAAAAAAAAAGTGACATAAACTAGGATGGAACGCCCGCAATTGAAGGCTCTGGATATCCTGTGATGTCAGCATTGGTGTAAAACATACTGAATTGTGCAGTCCAAGCAACAAAAACCAAATTAAAAGCCTTTTGACGGCAGGCAGCAAACCAATGCTGTCTGTACACACAGGCATGTAGTGATGCCGAAGCACAGAGCTGGCCAAAGCATGCAATCATTCATCGTAAACAAAGATAGGTCAATTACATTATAATGTAGTGAGTTTCAGCAGCTTGCCTAGTAGTGTAGGACACTGAGCTTCCTAACTGGTATCCTGAAAAATGAGTTCGTTAGTCAGTTCCTTGATGAGTCGGCACATTATAGCATGATGAAACGATAATATTGATGCTTGGTAATAAGGATATATAAATAACTATCATACTTGAACTTAGCATGTAGAAACGAACCAGGTGAGCTCATCCTAAAGCTAGCTGAAACATGAGCTCATGTTCCAAAAAAGAACTGGGTCAAATATTATATCGAAGTTAAAACACGATACTTATATATCTATATTACATTTGAATTCAACATGTAACCAAAATGCTATCCATTTGCAGGATTAACATTGCCTACCCCTACACACACAAAAAAACCAGCATTGTGATATCTTCTCCCCTTGGCTCTATGTATTTGTGTCGAAGATGTAATGGAAATGACCCAATCCAGATCAGATCTGACTGCCAGGGCGCCTGCAGCTGCGTATTTCACCGCATAGAGGCGATGGTTTTTCTTTAGCCCTGTCCCCAAAATCCACTCCCATGGGGAATCAAAACTCAAAACCAGGCCTCCTGGGTTTAGGTTGCTTGGAAAACCATGTAGTGTGATGCTATTACAAGCATGCATGCACACCCAAAAACTTTTCTCCTAAAATGCACACCAACTATGCAAAGGTTTCTAAAGAATCAATTGGCATGAATGGGTTTAAACCTGTGATGGTATTGCATTGTGCCACACTAATAGCAACCTGTACCTACCATGATTGAGGCCTGACATGGTACTACTACCAACACTACCAAATAAAATAAAATAAAATAGATTTGCTGCACATGAACCTTTTCTGGATTGCAACACTGGCTGCTGGAAAGGCTGAACATAAAGCAATCCTTTAAGCAAGATTGGTCAGTGTTACTTCCCCCTGTTTGCTAACTTGCTTACGCCTGTGAAGAATTTCAGCACCAGTTCTGTTGTGTATACTTTTAGGGAGTATACTACCTGTTTAATGATGCTCTGATGGAAGTGATATGGGGCCTGAAGTATCTCATGAAGTGTTTAGTGCCTGATGAAAGATGAAACCTGGATCATCATGCCATTTTGTCAATGCAGAGATGGTGAGATGAAAGCATGTTGGCTAGGGACAAGGCCACGAGCTCAGAATATGAAAATGCAATGTTGTAAGGATAAGCATTGTGAATTTCATTAGATTTTCATTACACAGACATTTGTGTCGAATTGCAATTGAGGCAGAGGGAGACAGTGTGGATTTGATCCGATTTTGATGGGACAGGCTGTTCAGCGCGATGGAGCTGATCCAATAGGTTGGATGATTTATGGTATGGTTGAATAATTAAGTATGGTCACCAATGGACCGGCCCTCCATTTGGTCACGCGCGAATGTGCTGTGGCATATAGGGGCTTAAATAGCCCACGGGTTGTCTGAATTTCCTATCTGTGATCCCCTGGTCATTTTGCAGGTAAATTCCAGCCTTCAGAATTCTCATGCCAAATAAACAATAGTTCTGCAAGTCAAGTGCTTGCCGTTGTGGGCTCTGAAAAGGTACTTCATGCCTTGTCCTAAATAACAATGCCTTATAGAACATTATTATATTGTAAAGATGAGCTTCCAAATTAATTTTCCTCTGGAAACTCTCCCATCCAAGGTGTGTATGGAAAAAACCCTTCTATGAATGGTTGGATACCCATAAACGTTTCATAATGTGTTGGGGAGAGGTTGCCTAATTCTTGAACCTTTGAGGTATTTAAGTGATAGGCCAGTCCTCGGCTCAATCCTTCACTCAAGAAGACAACCTCCTTGTAAGGGTGAAATCCGAGGACAGTAATAATATAGCCACCAAAGTCCCTATTGCCCCAACCTTCAGTGTGAATAACATTATCATCGTCCGAGTCCCATTCTTTGGTTTCAACTTTCAACAACATTTTTGTTGTCACAGCCAAATTCAAAATTTTCCTCCATTATCACTTCATCATTACCATCCTGATACTCATTGCGTGATCCAATATATTTAATATCTTGTAAGGTCCAAGGTTTAGGGCTATCAGTTTGCCTATATCTCAAGCCAATACTAGTCTTCAAAACCCACTCCATCTTGCCATATGATTCATCCAGAATATAAACATAATGATCCAACGCACATTACACTCCCTTCTGTGATTTTCCCAGATAATGATTTGGATCTGGTATGAGCTCAGTATCTACTAGAGGTGGTTTAATTACCTGGTACTTACCATCTAACAGTGATATTCTGCAAGAATCAAATATAACTGAGAAATCTGAATCAATGATAGTAGCATTAAACAACATTTCATGAAAGGAGACGTTCAAGTATTTAAGTGGGGTGGGCAGCTACCTCATAACAAAGTTGGTTTGGCAATGGACATAAAGTGTTACCCGCCAATAGACAGCGCATGCCAGCCACAGTCCCTGCAGCCTCCCCTTCTCGAACAAACGACCTCTCCTCCCATTTCTTAGTCCTTGATGAGAACACATGAAGTATGCATGGCGACAGTGGCCACTCTAATTCCTCTGCTGCAGGATTTAATTTGATCCGGCCAGATCTGGCACAAGCAAATGGGATCAGAAAAACCTCATAGTGTGGTGACACTGCAGGGTCAAAGACAAGGTACTCCTTGTGAAAAAAGTTTTCTGTACACAAATGTGGGCTTGGGAATGGGGGCAATTGCACCCACTGATATGTCGCTGGGTTAACCACATAGTCGTCAAGCAAGAGAAGCCCATTGCAGTGGTCACTAAAAGTGCTAAAGATATCTCTGGGCGGCAAACAGTCAGATATTGTTGGGCCTGTTGAGGAACGCGAGAAGAATCCTGACAAAACTAGGTCAGGGAAGTTGATGAAGATGCCAGCCAACGAGAGAGGGAGAAGGTCTGTACGCAGTAACCGGCGGGTGTCAATGATTGTGCACCAGGGCTTGCAAACACAGCGGGATGTGGCAAGGAAGCGTGGCGCAATATGTCGGAGCATATTGGCAAGCACATCTTCTGGGAGCTGGTTCAACGTGCCCTCCTGTTCTTCCAACATATCTGAGATGATCTCTGATTAGTAAGAGAAGCTCCCCACTCCACCGAAGAACCAAGCTTATCTGCAAAGTGAAGGAATACATAAGAGTAAGAAAGAAATAAGGCATGTCAAGATGGAGCCCTGATGTTGTGCCCGGCCAGTGTTCAGCAAAATCTGAACACTACTAATTGGCAGTTGTCTGTGCTGTGCTGTGCTGTGCTGTAGCTGCTGCTGCTACTGTGCTAGCTGCTAGGAGCTGTCAATCGATGATCAATATAAGCTGCAACTTTCTTTTTTTTTTTTGCGAGTAATATAAGCTGCAACTTTGTCCAATGAATAATTCGTATAGATCACTACTTACAATAAGCGATTATCAAATGCTAAACAGAGAAGATGTAGAATCGTGACCCAACGATTCGATCATGCTAGCATTGTAATAAACAATATAAGGTAATAAGGCCGTGACCCCGAGCAGGATCCGCAACCCATCAGCCGCGTCCCGAATCACAGATCTCTGGTGGTCCAGATGGAACGGCAGTGGCGGCGCCGGGGAGTGGCGGCGGGTGCAAGAGAGGCCGGCAGGTTAGAGTGGGCGGGATGGAGACGCCGGCGACCGCGGGAGGTGGAAGACGAGCACGGAGCTAACCTGGTTGCCGGTCTCGTAGAGGAAACCCCGAGGCCGAGGCTCGTCGCCGACACCGGTGATGCGTCCGGAGGCGGAGCCCCGTCAGTTGGGACGATGGATCAGATTGGGGATCGAGCCGATCTTTGAACGCACATTAAATTTTTTGAACGCACGGATCGAGCCGTTCTTGTTGAAGTGGAAACCGTAGTGGGCTGGGCCGCACGATTCGCTCTGGTGCACACATTGCTTTCGTCTCCTCACGTGATGTCACGCGATCATGGTTGGGTTCGGCTGTTGTACATGGACTGCTCTCGGTCTCAGTTTCTCACAAGTAGGCAGTTGGTTTTAACGGTGCTACGTCTCGAATTTTTTTTATTTATATTTTCTGTTTCTTTTCAAATTTATATTTTTTATATGGACTAGGTAGCGTGTTCGTGCGTTGCTACGGAATAGCTAACATTTTGTAATAAAAACACACGGATCGCACGATAAGATAACAATACTATAAAAATTAAATATCAATGTTAAAGTTACAGTTAATCCAAAAAACAAAGTTTATGAAATTAACAGTCACGGAGAGCGCGGCGTCGCAGGCTTACAAACTATACTTTATAGACCTTTCCGTGATGCGCCTAAGATAATATTTTATATCGGCAAGAAGAAATCTCCGATATCCATTTTTTTGGTGCGCCAATAAATCCACGAATAAGTTCCGTCGTATCTCCATACCATCCTGTACACAAGTTCGAATATATATGTAAATCACACCACGACAATATAAGTATGGATGTGTTATATTGTTAAAAAACAATATTTTGCGTGTGATGTTTGCAACATCGCCATTACAAAGTGCTATTTTGTGTGTGATGTTTGCAACATTGCCATTACAAGTGATATTTCGAACATGATGTTTGCAACATCGTTATTGCAAGTATTATCCCGTGCGCTACTACAGGTATATTTTGTCTTCAACGGGTCATGTCTGCTCCTGTCGCCAAACTAATGAGTCATTTGTGACTGTACCCATTGTTATAGACATGGAGAAAAAGCCAAGCTGAAGGGGATGCACGTTAATATCAGGCCATATAAAAGTTAATGAATGACATATTGACAGCATAAACTTCTCCAAGTATTGGTCTCAATGAAAAGATTGTTTATATGAATAGTCGGGTTATTAGACAATCACTCAAAAACTGGATAACATAATAGGATTGTAAAGGAACATTGTCATTATAGGTACTGTACTAAAATTTCACTGAACTGGACCTAACTGATGAACCTGTGGATTCAGAAAAAATATAAATAGTATAGGGAGTGGAACTAATTGATGAGCAAGGGTTTTCTAGCTAGGAAATATATGTGCATGATAGATGCCTTAAAACAATGGATGTCAACTCAAAAATCAGCAAAATAATAACAACCTAAAATAAACAAGTATGTCTGATCTCGTGATGAACAACCTATACACTGGTTTCGCAAAAGGAAAAAAAACAATACGGTGTCAACCTTAGGTTTATATTAAAGTACAATTTTATACAAATAGGATCTGAATCATATGAACTTCCATCTTATTCACTCATCAAAAGGCCCCTAAAGATCATTAGTTGTGCCTGCAAAACAGCAACATCTTTGCAGGCCTTCTAGAATCAAAGTAAGCACAGGGTTCTTTCTAGAAGTTATGGGTAGTCAAATTGAGTGAATATTGTTTTGGCATCTCCAAGTTTCCATTCCTTTTTTGTTCGGGCTTTCATATCTTTGTCGACTTCCTCTTCATCTCACTATGGTGCCAAGGTCAAGCTTGTCATTCAGAGCAGCGATGAACTCATCCTAAGTGTGGATCGCTTGGAGGCAGACATCTATCATTTCTCTGGCTGTCCAAAACAGTTAGTTAATCCCATCTAGTAACACTTCAACCTCTTCAGCCAAATTGGTCACAGGAGATCATATTTGCACCACTATATTGACAGACAAAACCCATTTACATGCTTTTATAAGATGTAAATAAGAAAGCTTTAGCACACAGCACTTCGTGAGGCAATTGAAGTACAAACCAAACTGTCACTTATCTGGTGACTACCTTGTGCGTATTCAAACATAAATAGAACACTACTGCTGTAGTAAATGAAGGCCAACCAAATTGAAGTGGTTGCTTACCAGGAATTCTAAAATGGGTGGGATTCAGAACTGTACACTCTCTCCCGTCATCATTCAAAATTGATGGGCACAGTAGATGTTTAAAATTGATGGGCACAGTGGATGTGGTTTCTTTTCCTAGTTCTTTCTCACTTAAAGCCCTAAACCACCAGTTTAATAAGAGGAGAATTCTTAACAGTTTTGCCTGCATTTAGGTATCTATCGGTCTATGTATCAGTTACAGAAAACAAGCGTTTGTTCTCAGGAACAAGAGAAAACATGAAGCATCTCTAAAAGTAAGTCCTTTAACTGCCCAAGCAGTTTCCTAGTTCTTTAGTCACTTCATATCAATATTCAACCTAGGAAAGGGTTCATCAAACAAAGAGCCACAAACGGTTGCTCTCGAGTCTAACCACCAAACAAGAATGCAAAGACTTGCTCCTCATTCCCGTCCAACAGTTTGAGCGCTTGAATTACAGATGCCTGTCAAAACCAAGGTCCACAAGTTAGTTCACAGTTAGTGGTTTTAAAGTTGTTCATGATTATCAAAAGATTACAAGTGCTCGAACATATATGCTTCACATGGCTTCCACGAAATATGGGAGTTTGTCTTTCTTCATCACCCATCTTAAGTAAGAAAAAATATTTTTCTTCTCATTAGACTAATTTGGTAACAACACTTTTCAAATTGCATATATAAAAATATTGCATTACATGTATTCTTCCTAATATCTCTGATTGACCAACTCCAACAAAGAATCCCTCGGTACCATTGATCAAGAAGCCTCGAGACACCATTTACATGAGAAAATATACTTCAAAGATGATGAAAACCTTGAACACAGACACCATTCCATATTTCCCACACTCACCTTAGTCGTGTAATACGCAAGGCAGAGCAAAGGACACCTTGCACTCCATTCCCTTACCGCTTGGCCATGCCGCCAAATCGAGGAGGACATGTGCGGGGAAGCCTAGATATTAGTTGTGATCTTGTTTCACAAATTAGTTGAGGGCTCATCTAACCTGATAGCATTTCATAGAAACAAAGTAATGAAATAAGCTCTACTATATTGTTTTAGGAATCTACATCTGGACCTATGCATATGTGCAGAATAGAGACCCCTTCCATCAGAAGAAAAAATATTGTTGGCCTATTTCTTGTCCAACTGAATTTCAACAAAAGGATATGGGCAGAACGACATGAACTCGAATCCTGCGAATTTGGGTGGCGCTTTACTCACCAACCGTTGCTCTTCCTAACGCCCTCGAAAACATCGGCACTGCCCTTAGCCTCCTACACCCCGTAGAGCGCACTGGTGGTGTTGGATGCCCTCGACAGTGACGACGAGCGCCACAAGTTCAGCAGCTGACCCCCCTTGAGGCTGCTTGTGTGCCCATTCCCTCCTCCCTCGCCACCACACCATAGCCGCTTCTCCTACATTAATTACTGCAAAAAAACTATGTACCCAGTAATATATATTTTCTTACCGAATCAACCAACACATGGTGAAAACCTAAAGAGTATTGAACCATGTAACACATTTGTTCTTAATAGCCCTAAAAGCAAGGACTTTACATATTATTCTACTGTATTTTTTTTGGTGACTGTGGGGGAATAGACCCCCTATACCCTCATGGGTATACATGGGCCGCACCACCGGAAGTGGCCCAGCCCGCAAGATGAAGACGTGCGGAGCACGACGCTATATTGTAATTGTACCAAATTGGATACTTTATTTGTAACCTTGTCTCTTCGTAGTATATAAGGAGGGGCAGGGGTCCCCTAGAGGACAGATCATACAGATCTCACCTCAATCAATACAGAATAATGAGACACAGGACATAGGTATTACGCCAACACGGCGGCCGAACCTGTATAAATCTTGTGTCTTGTGCCCTATGTAACCATCTGGTTCCTGATTACACGCACCGTCTACCGACAATCTACCATCATGGGCATACCCCTAGATGGACTGTCGACCACATTTCGTCGACAGTGGCGCGCCAGGTAGGGGTCCCCTTTAGGGGTTGTGCGCGCTGATCTTTCGACGAATACGATGGGATTTTCTTCTTCAACATGTCAATAACAACTCGACTGATCGCGGCGGCGTCCTTCGGCAACCACGATGACCTACAACAAGGACCTGATGCCGCAACGCATCTCACGGGTGTGAGCAGATCGACTCGACGAGCGCGCATGTCAAGTGCCAACCGCGATCCGATTTACACGTGATAACCATCACGTCCAGAAAGCTAAGTC